TTGTAAGAAAGGTTACTTTGAAGAATATGTATTTGAAAAAACTACGAACTGCTATTGATCTAATTGTCAGATTATTTTACCTTACCATAGAAAAGTTTTGAATGTCAAAAGCTGTTTTGATGGAAATGTATGTAATTGATGGAAAATAGAATTTTTTAAGGTAAGGAGTAATGTTATAAGTAAGATTGAGTGAACTGTATTTTTTAGCTTCATATTATGGTTAAGAGGCTGTTATTCAGTTGTTAATGTTATTTTCTTTAAAATGAATTTAGTTTCAGACATTTGGCATTTAGAGATGACACAAAATTTATCACTTATGATGTGGGTTACAATTAACTATACCTCTAATCAATGAATTATCCTAAAGCAATATAATTCTTAAATTTCATTCTCTGCTTATCTTTCCTGTTGATTATCAGTTATTCCTACATAATTACAACCAAACCTAACTTTTTATTAAAGTTCAGATATTTATATCTTATATTTTAAAGGATACTATATGTTGTACAGAAACTGTCCTGAGTATGTGTGTTAGGATATATAAGTATCGAGTGGTTGGGTGTATTTTTCCTGTTGACATGTTGAATGTTACTGTTTTTAGAATCTTCAGCTAGATGAGGAAACCCAGTATCAAACTGCTGTTGAGGAATCTTTTCAAGTAAACATCTGAAGGCTGTAAACATCTCTGCATCTTTGTACCTGCAAGTGCCATCTTTAAGGGGAAAACTACATGAAGTCACCCATTTCAATCAATAACTTGATGTGTATATTAATAAAAGTAATTCAGTCTATTGTTTTAGTTTTTTTAATTAAAAAATAAAGATGGGCCATCTAATAACTTCATCCTCTTGATAAATTAAAAAATGAAAGTCATGACATTAGCTTATTTTAAAGCATAAAGAGGATTATATTTCACTAATGTAATGGTGAAAAGGGAATCCTTGTTGTACCTTATTTTTTGTTTCATATTGAATTTTTCATTATGTTGCTTTTGAAATTTGGTGCAGTTTCTTGCATTTACTTTATTGTAACAGGTAATGCACAGTCGCAAATTCTGAAGATGTGATTGATAAACCTAACATATCTGAGCCAGTTTATCAGAGTTGGAGAACGGAAACTTGAAGTGCTAAATGGAACAATCCAAAGTAAACTTTTTTTATACAGATTCTAGCTGAAGAATTCATCTTTAAGAAAATTGTATTTATATAACTTTTACTATTTTTGAAGGCTAGTGAGATTTCTTTAATAATGTAACTCTTTAAATAGCAAAAGCTCATTGTAAAGATATTTTCTTTTTGGTATTAGAAGGAAATATCAAGAGAAAATTTTATTTCCTTGGTGAGCAGTTGATAGTTTGAACCTTGTTTTTTTGGCTGCCTAATTTGTAAACTCGTAATGAAGTAAGCTGGATAACAGCTCTTTGGCCTCAGAATTTTTCAATAGCCAGTATTTCTGATTAGCTAAGATAAAACTTATTAGAAATTTTCAGTTGGTGATATTCTGAATATATATCTAAATGAGAGGTTTGGCTTGGTTTCCTTATGGAAATTCAGAGTTAAAGAGCTGCACATTACATATACATACAGTTTATCAGATTACATACAGTTTCTATAAAGGATTTAAGAAATGGACAATATAGGATTGAAGTGCTATCTGGTTTGATTAAAATTTTG